AGCACTGGGTACAGTCAGAAGCAGGGGAGGGTGAGAAAATTCACCAGAGCCAGAGCGGGGAGCAGACAAGGCAGACTGATGAAGCACACTGCTGAGGGGAGCAGCGGGAGGCAGGAGAGGTCTGTCGCGCCACGTGGGACCCTCGCCTGGTGGCCGGGGATCGAACTGGCGCTCCAGAGGCTGCAGGCAGCTTCGCAACCCAGTGCTCAACTGCTGCGCCACTGGGGAGGGCCTTTTTTTTTTTTTTTTTTTTTAAGATTTATTTATTTTTATACAAGAGCCGGGTACAGGCCAGAGGCGTGGGAGGGTGAGAGGATTCACCAGAGACAGAGCTGGGAGCAGAACTGGCAGAAGGACGGAAATACACTGCTGAGGGGAGCAGCAGGCCAGACAGGAGAGGTCTGCAGGGCCATGTGGGTTTCTCCCTGGCTGGCTGGGAATCGAACCCTTGCCGCAGCGGCTGTGGACAGCCTCACAGCACTGCGCTGAACCCACTGCACCACTGGGGAGGCCCAGAAATTCTCTTCTGATGGTTTCATTTTTTTTCTCAGTTAAGAAGTGATATCAGGGCCTCCCTGGTGGCGCAGCGGCTTGAGCACTGCACTGTGAAGCTGTCTGCAGCCTTTGCAGTGCAGGTTCAATCCCAGCCGGCTGACGAGAATCCCACATGGCGCAACAGACCTCTCCTGTCTCGCCCGCTGCTCCCCTCAGCAATGTGTTTCGCCAGTCTGTCTGTTCTGCTCCCCGCTCTGTTTCTGGTGAATCGTCTCACCCCCTGAACCTCTGGCCTGTACCCTGCTCTTGTATAAAAATAAATAATTCTTTAAAAAGAAAGTTTCTTTTTTTTAAAAAAGAAGTGGTATCAGTTGCAAATGAAGATAACAGAGGTGTTGGAAATTTGAGGACAAAGGAAAAGTGAGTGGTCTCCTAAGGGAGCAGCGAGAATGTGAATGGACTCGGAAAATACAATATGATTGCCAACAGCATTACATGTGCACTTGGATTTTTGACATTGAGTTTAAAATGAAATGAAAACAGTGACATGGTTGTGTACTTATTTTCAGCCATGTTCAGCTATTTGGTACAGATTGGGATTAGTCAGAGAGTTTGATATAACTCAGGATGTCACTTTGTCAAATACATGGGTCAGAATGATCTAGGGGAAGGGAATTAGAGGTGTATATAAGAGAGGGCTAATTACTGACCAAAGTTGATAAAGTGGGAAGGATGTGTATCAGGCAAAGGTAGCTATAAGGGACTGAAAAGGCAGTAGGATCAGAGAATTGAAGGTCTCGATGGGTTCAAAATACCAGGGAATGAATTACTGACAGAAGAAGGATGTGAGGCCATGTCAGTGAATGGGATGCATGAAATTGAGGTTATGGACGAGTTGTGATAATAGGTAATGACCTTTGGGTAAGAGGTTAAGGTATGGGGGAGGGTTGACTCATGAGAAGAGATAAGCTCTAGGATTTTGAGATTAAAACAGGAGTGCTTGTTTAGAGTGAATTCTTGAGCCAGAAGCTAAATATTTGGGAATTATGGACCGTGACCCAGGAGTTGATGGATGAAGGTTAGTTGATGACAGGTGATGACAGGAGAATCATGGAAGAGGAATGGAGAAATGGTGTGGAAGAGGCTCTTCCTTACCCAAAGGAGAGGAGCCCCTCGCATTATCCTCCCTCCCCATCTCCAGACTCAGACTCCTCAGTGCAAGGATGTGGGGTGGGGGGGAAAGAGTTATTAATTAAAAGGATGTGAGTAAGTGGGTCCTTAAGGGAGAACTAGGTTTCTGTTATAACAAAGTGAAGGGTGAAAGAAGGGGTTTGCTGATGACTGAATTCTAGAGTGCACAGAGTTTGAGTTTCTGCATATGGAGAGGGATGGGACATGGGGGCAAATTATAGCCATTTTCTGTAAAGATAATAAAATTAATCCCAAAAGTCAGGCATAGAAAAATAATATTTTCAAAAAGTAAAGTTAGGCTAGTTGACTCCAAGTTATTTTAAAATTTAAAATTAATTTTCCCACACTTTGGCAAGAACATGAAATATAGAAATAGAATTTTTAAACTTCTGAATCATAACTAAGTTGAGGTGATAAATATAAAAATTCTTTTAGTGGCTTTCTGAATAATGTACTCAATTGTAGGCCCTGTTTATTTCAGTGAAAAATGTCAAGGAACAAACTATTGAAAATGTTTTAAGAGAGTTTTACTAATTTAATAAAATTACTAATTTACAGTATTTTTATAATAGATTCTATTAGCTGTTTTTCCCTACACGGAATAGATGTCGGCTGTAACATACAAATTAGAGTATGTTCACAAAAAGAGTTGTCTGGCAGGTTGCTGATTTGTGTGCATGTTTGTGAGAGCCTAGGAATGATACCGTTTAATTTTATTCCTATAAAATATTTTACTTTAATTTGACAGACTTTATGAGTATTTTTGGATCTCAGCTTTTTTTTTTTTAAAGTATAATGTGTTCTTGAAATTCTTCAACAGATATTATATTAGTTTATAAAGCATTGTCTTCCAGTCATTTAGAAATGCTCTCTACAGCTCGCTTATAGCTTCTTTTGAATTTGGTCATTGCATTGCGAGTATTTGGGTTCAAATTTCATACCAAGTAGTAGACCTACTTTCCCTGGGATTAGCTGCCTATCTTTCTATTCTGGGGATGGGGTAGAATTTGGGCAAGAATTAGTGAAGTCCAACCTCTTAGTTAAATGAAAACACAGGGGGTGGGCAGGAGCTATTGTGAATTAAAACCAGATCCCTCTTTTTTTTTTTTTTCTGGTGACAGGCTATGTAATGCAGTAGGTCTTTTATATTACTTAAGTTGCTGCCATCTGGCAAGAAATTGTTATCTGATGAGTAGTTTTTAAAAAAAATTAATCTTGGGGCTATATTTTTCTCTCCATATATTCACATGTTCCACTCACCTACCACTATGCCTCCCGTACCCATACCCCAACTACATCCTTCCCCATCCCCTTTTCCCTCCCCACTGTTATATTCTGGTAACCATTATATTCTTTCACTGAGTTCAAGTATATTCCTACCATATTTTGCCTGTATGTTTTTTCTTTTTTTCCCCCCACAGATGAGTGAGACCACCCAATGTCTTTCATTCTTTGACTTAGTTCATTTAACATAATCTCTTTGAAGCCTGTCCATTTTGTTCCAAATGCCACTACTTCATCTTTTTTCACAGCTGTGTAGTAGTCCATTGAATATATAGTCCACAAATTTTTTTTTTTTTTAAGATTTCTTTATTCATGCATACAAGAACTGGAGTACAAGCCAGATGTGCAGGAGGGTGAGAGAATTCACCAGACACAGAGTGGGGAACAGAACAGGCCAACTGACTGAAATACACTGCTGAAGGGAGCAGCGGGAGAGACAGGAGAGGTCTGCCACGCCATGTGGGTATCTCCGCGGCCAGCCGGGATTGAACCCGCGCTGCAGAGTCTGTGGACAGCTTCATAGTGCTGCGCTCAACCGCCTGTACCACCATTTCTTTATCTGTTTGTCTGTTGTAGGGTACTTAGATTGGTTCCATGACTTGGTAATTATGGATAGTGCTGCTGTGCACATTAGTGTAGATAAATCTTTTTGTCTTAGAGTTTTCATATTATTTGGATAAATACCTAATAGACATATTGCCGGATCATATGGAATTTCCATTTTTTTTTTAAGATTAATTTTTTTTTTATATGATAGCTGGGGTACAGGCCAGAGGCACGGGAGGGTGAGAGGATTCACCAGAGACAGATTGGGGAGCAGCATAGGCATACTGACTGAAATACACTGCTAAGGGAAGCAGCGGGCGGCAGGAGAGGTCTGCATGCCATGTGGGACCCTCGCTGGCGGCCGGGGATTGAACCCATGCTGCAGAGGCTGCAGCCAGCTTCGCAGCCCAGCACTCAACCACTGCGCCACCGGGGAGCCCCCATTTTTATTTTCTTAAGAAATTTCCATATCAGCTAAGCTATGGAAACAACCCAGATGCCCAAAAATAGATGACTGGAACAAGAAGATATGGTACATATACACCATGGAATATTACTCAGCAATCAAAAAAGATAAACTCATGTAATTTACAGCAACATGGATGGAGCTGGAAGGGATCATGCTCAGTGAAATAAGCCAGAAAGAAGAAGAAAAATAGGGGAATGTCTCACTCATAGCAGGAATTTAGAAAACCTAAATAAGGGACCAGGAAAAACCTAATTATAATAAAGTAAAAATCAAATTCAACAAGCAACTATAAGCCAGAGACACTTTACGGGGGTGTGGGGAGTGGGGGAGAGGAGGGGGGAGGAAGTAGCATCAAAACAAGAGGGGGTGGGAATTGTATGGGGACTATAACCAGATGAAAATGCATACATTGTGCAAAAGTGAAAAATGATGTAAAAAAATATATGAAATTAAATAATAATAAATAATTTTAAAAAATTTCCATATCGTTTCTCAAAGGGGTTACACCACCTTGTATTCCCAAAGGGGTTAGGTGGTAATTCCTTTTTCACAGTGGATGGTAGTTCCTTTTTCACCACATCCTAACCAACATTTGTTGATTTCATTCTTTTTTATAGGCCAATTTTACAGGGGTGAAGTTATATCTCAATGTGGTTTTGATTTGCATTTCCCTTATAATAAGTGATGTTGAACACCTTTTCATGTGACTAAGCCATTTGAATGTCTTCTTTAAAAAGTGTCTCTTTAGGTCCTTTGCCCATTTTTTGACTGATTTTTTGTTGTTGTTTTATTGAATAAGAACTCAGTAAATTTTGGAGATTAGCCCCTTGAATAATTAACTAAGAAGAAGTGTAACTTATCATTGGCTACTAAAACTTATTAACTGATTTTCAAGATAGAATTGCAGGAATTTAGCAAAGAGAAATGCTAGTGAAAAATTTAGATGACTATGCTCCTAGATTGGAGGAGAGAAAATTGGATATTCAGTTTAATGTTCTTTGTTCATTTATTTTAGCTTCAGCACAGACTAATTCACTGAACCAAACTATACTCAAGACAAATGTTTCTGCTGCAAACACAAATGCTTTAACATTTGAAAACCAAACCAAATCATCTATTTCCCAAATCAGTACCACTCTCCCTCCCACAACTAGTACAGAGAAAATTGGAGGGACATCTGTGGCCCCTCATCCCTCGCCTACTACTTCTCTGGCCCAAGAAGAAGCTGGCAACAATGAAGATCCAAGCATAGAGGAGGAAGATCCTTTCATGCTGAATAGTTCTCCGTCCACTTCCAAAGGCACTGTGGACAATGGCGATTATGAAGAACCTTCAGAATATGACTGGTCCACCAGCTCCACCAGGGACGATAAATTCCCTGAGGCCTTGGAAGAAAACAGGCATTACATGGGAAGTGAACAGTCAATGAGATCTTTTAAGACCCCATCTTCAAATGTAGAAGAGGAAGACAGCCATTTCTTTTTTCATCTTATTATTTTTGCGTTTTGTATTGCTATTGTTTACATTACATATCACAACAAAAGGAAGGTAAGTGAGGTTTTTTAACACCTCTAGTTGTTCTTTATTATCTCAGTCATTTTTATTAATGCTTTATAAACCTGTGGTGTATTTGAACAAATTACAGACAGAATGCTTTATTACATGTGCTTCTAAAAAGATAAATTATCTTTTAATGAATAAACCACAGCCCAGAGATTTTTTTTTTTTTGAAGGTTTTATATCTTAATTTAGCATTGCTGCTTAGTGGGATTACTTGTAGAGAAATGTGAAGGTAATTTAATACAATTAATTTATTAAACATTGAACTTAATGACCTTTTTAGTAACTTTCTTTTCAGGTTGTAAAAATATTACGTGTTTATTTTAGGGAATTCAGATAACACAGAAAAACATAGGAAAGAAAATTTAAGCTACTACCCAAAGCTGAGCATTATTAACATTTTGATATATTTCTGGCCTATAAATATGTATATATTCAGACATAGGTGCATGTTGTAATTATTAAATGAATGAATTTTATATCTTGCTGTTAACCTAAAATCTGGTATTTTTCAAGATCATTAAGGTCTTTTTCTTTTTTTAAAAAAATATTTATTTATTTATACAAGCACTGGGTACAGTCAGAAGTGCGGGAGGGTGAGAGAGTTCACCAGAGCCAGAGCAGGGAACAGAACAGGCAGACTGATGAAGTACACTGCTGAGGGGAGCAGCTGGCCTGGCAGGAGAGGCCTGCGCGCCATGTGGGACCCTTGCCGGCGGCCGGGGTTCGAACCCGCGTTGCAGAGGCTGCAGGCAGCTTCGCAGCCCAGCGCTCAACCACTGTGCCACCAGGGGAGCCCCAAGATCATTAATAGTCTTTAACAACATAATTTAATAACCACATAATTATTTAGCAATTTTCCTATGAGATGATTTGGATGGTTTCTAATGTTTGGTTGGAAAGAATATTGTGACGAACATTTCGGTATTAGATGGGCTTATTAGGTTATTTGAGGCAAAGGGGCATAGACCCCTGGTCAGACAATGTTGTGTAAGGAGCAACTCTGCTGTTTAGTCCTGGAGCTGGATAATCAAATCTTTCAAATACTTCATAGGAAAGCAAAGGCAGAGTGTGCCTTTTAGTGCTTACTGGGCAGGAAATCTCTGCTCTTGAGTCTATGATCACTTGCTTTGTGATGCCTGGCCTTGCCCTGCCCTTTGGGGCCTTGGTAGTCTCACCTGAAAATAACAAAATTTGAACCATATGATTTCAAAATCCTCCCCACCTTTGAGAATCATTGGTTTTAATGCCTTGTTTGTGCTTTCAGTTATTTGTGGTTTAGTAGTCTGTCACTACTTGTAAATATCTGTGGGTGAACAAAGTTTTAAGTGCCAGTGATATTGCATCCTGGTGTTTAGTGTTGAGCCATCTCTGTTATAAACTCTTTTTTTTTTTTTTTTTTTTTTTTTACAAAGTTTTATTTTTTTTTTTTTTTTTTTTTTTTTTAAGTATTTTTTTTTTTAATAGAGGCATGTTTTTATTTATTTATTTATTTGTTTGTTTCTTTTGTTTTATACATGCACTGGGTACAGTCAGAAATGCGGGAGGGTGAGAGAATTCACCAGAACCAGAGCAGGGAGCAGAGCAGGCAGAAGGACCGAGGTACACTGCTGAGGGGAGCAGCGGGCGGCAGGAGAGGTCTGCACGCCATGTGGGACCCTCCTCCGGTGGCCGGGAGCAGCCGGGGATCGAACTGGCGCCGCAGAGGCCACGGGCAGCTTCGCAACCCAGCGCTCAACCGCTGCGCCACCGGGGAGGCCCTCTGTTATAAACTCTTAAGGGGAAGGTACTTGGTAAACAGGTAGGTTCCCGGGCTCCACTCAGTCTACTAATTCATCTCTGAGGGCAGAGCCCAGAAATCAGTCTTTAACAGGCACTCCTATGTGTACATAAAATTTAAAAAGCATTGTTTAGTCTTGTTTACAGGATGGAAAATGAAATAGTCCTTTTGTTGTTGATATTTTATTTTTTTTGTATTTGGGAACCTAGGTGAGAGAGATTTAATTGTTATAAAAACTTTTAGCATACCCCCCATGTTCTCACTTGCATAGCTAACTAACTTTGTTTTATTCTAGATTTTCCTTCTGGCCCAAAGCAGGAAATGGCGTGATGGCCTTTGTTCCAAAACAGTGGAATATCATCGTCTAGACCAGAATGTTAATGAGGCAATGCCTTCTCTGAAGATTACCAATGATTATATTTTTTAAAGCACTGTGATTTGAGTTTGCTTATTATGTGATTTTATTTGCTTGACTTTTTTATATGATACCATATAGATGTTTGTCATAGGCAATTGGTACTTACATGAGAGGTGGATCTCTCTTTATTTTGCCTTGGTGCTTTGGAAATTCAATGTCATGAACAAGATATAATTTTTTTACCTATACTTTTAAATTCAGTCAGGTTTCCAAAATGTGGAGTTAAGCATTATCTGTTAGTTCTGATTGTTTTCTACTGTACTTTTGTTGGAAGTACTAGCAATGCTATTTTTAAAACATCCCAAACTTGTAACTAAATTCTAACTTATCTGGCCCCGCTGTCTCAGATTCTCTTTCTGCCATCCAAATACTGTTTCTTAAGCACACATTTGTTTGTGCTTCTAAACTATAAGCTGTAAGGATGTCTGTAATAATGCTTTACATATAAGTAAAATTTTTTCAGGAAAATTGATTTTGATATTTTTGGATAATTTAAACATAATATAATGATATTGCTCAATTTGACTACAATTTTAGGTAACACATTAATAAATGTGTCTAGAAATTCTGACAATAGGGAATCTGCATTTGCAGTGGACATAGTTAAACTGTTAGAAATGCCAGTGGTAGAAAGATATCCTTTTTTGGTATAAATTACTGAATTAGATTTAGAGGTAGAAATTGTGGTAAAATATTAAATTCAATTGCTTTTAGTTCACAGTTGATTATAGCATGGGTTCTTCCAAACTTAAAAACAAAGGGCAGAATTTAAAATTATACTGGGTGTGTTCACTTTATTATTTTATAGTAAGTTTGAATAAATCTTAGGGTACATTATCACTTAAATAATACTCTATCTAGATCGTGCAAGTTAAAATTATACCTAAATGAAGTTTGTATACAGAAAGGATCTGTGTGTACACTGTCCCCCCTTGTGCTTGTTTTATTTTTTAATTTTTTTAACAGCAACTGGAAATTATTTACTGTATTTTATGTTAGTCTCTATTTTTTAAGAATTGATGTAAATATGTAATTTGAACCATGGTTGACTTACAAATGTCACTGCAACTTTTTAGAAAACGTGACCCCTAATATATGTTAAGGGCCCACCTACAAAGCTTAGGTGAGCCAGTGGGCATGTGGTTTGTGTAGACATGGAAGAAGCAGGCTAGTCCGTTTCTCTCGGGTGGGCACTTTGCTGCCCTAACAAGGAAGGGAAGCACATGGAAATGCATCGGAACTGTTTTATTGCAGTAATTTTTTTCATATCTGAAATTGTATTATTTAATATTTTGAATAAGATTTTAAAAAATAAATGGTAAAGATATAAATCCATGATTTTATGTGTGTTTTGTTTTATTGACGGTATAGGTTCCTTCATTTAGATCGTGACAGGGATAATGCTATGTCTGGAAACACGCTCAACTGGCAAACTTAGTTTAGTTCCTCGTAGCAGTAGGTCTCTACCTCTCTGAATCCCATTTTATATCTGTAAATCCTAGTTTAGGTCCTATTTAGGCTTGGTGCTGAAGTTTATTGGAAACTCTGGCAAAGTAGAATTGCAAAGGAAAATACAGAGGCTAAATCAATGTGCAATTTCTAGCATCCTGGCCTCCTTGCTCTCTCCCTGTTGAAGACTCTTCCAACTAGACAGATCTAGGTTCTTGGGCACCTCTTGAAGTTACAGGGTAGGGGTGGAGCAGGGTTTAATGTGTGGAAGTACACTCTAACTTGTCCACATTTTACCATTTTCACAGCATTGCATTCAAAGCAAAGCACGTGGTTTTTCATTTGGGCTGTGCTGTGAGCTGGAGACTACAGTAGGTCAAGACAGCTTTGTTTTGATGGTGCTCACTGTCAGGCAGTGAAGAAAAACAGTCCCAGATGCGAGTTAGAATGCTGAAAACTGGATTTCACTTTAGTTTCTTCACAGAAAAGGTAAGTTAGACTTAGTTCAATGGCCTCTACCACTTCCTGAGGGCTCACTCTCCTGTGAGAGCACAGTAGTCCAGTGAGGTAGTTGCTAGTAGTATTCCCTGTTCACAGATGACAAAACAGAAGCTGAGAGAGTTAAGCGTCTTGGTCAAGGTCACATAGCTGACAAGAGAGAGCTGGGAATTGAATTCAAGGTCTGACTCCAGACTCCTGCTCCACCTCACTAGCTGCCTGTTAAAAAAAACAAGGCCGGTCCAGAAAGGTAAGAACAATTACCCAAAGCTGCTCTCGCTGTAGGCCCCTCATCGTTTAGGTGTATTCTCTTCTTTCTTTAAAAGTTGCTTTTATTGTGAATGTCAGCATGACACTACAGACACATGCATCAAACAAACATACACCTCAACAAATTATAAAGCTAATAGATTAACAAATTATAAGCCTGTGTGACTGGTCCAGGTGGAGAAATGGAGCTTAGTCTGCATCTCAATCTCCCAAATCACTGCCTTTCCCTTCCCTCCATAGGGAGCTAATATTTTGACTTTTATGCAAACACTTTTCTTTTTAGATTTCATCACTTAAATATATATCCCCAAATATTATAATTTAGTAAGTGTTAGGCTTTCATATACATTCTTTTGTGACTGGCTTCTTTCTGCCTTATGATGGTGAATTTCATCACTTTAGTGTGTGCTGTGTGAAGTTCATTGCTATATGGTACCCTATTATAAAATTGCACTGCAATGTATGTATCGATAGATCTGTGGTTGATGACCATCTGAGTTATTTCCAATTTCAAACTGTTGTGGATGGAACATTCTTACTCATATTCCTGTCTTTGGTTGCTGGTGGGATTGTTGCATTTCTGGTGAGTATATACCTAGCTGTTGAACTGTGGATGCATATATTCAACTGGAATAATTAATACGAAATATTTTCTCCAATAATTGAACCAATTTATACTCCTAGCCATGTTGTTGCTTTACATCCCTGGTAACACCTGGCATTGTTAGTGTTCTTAATATTTAGCTATTCTGGTGGGTGTGTGGTGGTCGCTCATTGTGCATTTCTCTGAAAACTGATCATATTGATCCTTTTTCATGAGTTGGACATTTGAATATCCTCTCTTGTGAAGCGTTGGTTCAAGTTTTTTATTTTTCTACTGGAATTTCTGTCTTTCTTAACTGCTGTGTTGATATTCTCTATTCTGGATATGAGTCCTTTGCTGGTTATATATATATATATATATATATATATATATATATATATATATATATATATATATGACAAATTGCTTCCCTTATTCTGTCTGGCTTGCCTTGGTACTCTTAATAGTGTCTTTTGATGAACAGAAATTCTTAAAGTTCTTAAAGTTTTTTGAGGAAATTAAAGCTGTTTCATTGAACTATGTTTATACCCATGTGTTCACAGATTTTTAAATGTCAGCTTTGACAGTTGTGTATGTTTGTGTTACCGTCACCCCAAATTTCATATATGTACTCACATAACCCCACAAAGTTTCCTGGTACCTCTTTCCAGTCAATTCTTTACCTACCTCCAAGAGGCAACTACCTTGAGATTTTTATCACCATAAGTTAGCTCTGCCTGTTTGAACTTCATACAGACAGAATGAAAAGTATATACTCTCTTGTGTCTTACTACTTATTTTGGTCAGCATAATCCTTTTATTTTTTGTTTTTAGGTTCACCCATATTGTTGCATTATCAGTGGGTCATTACTTTTTATTGCTGAAGCGTATCCATTGAACTAGCAGACCACAATTCTCATTAATTTTCTCAATGGCTACTTGTGTTGTTCCTAGCTATATACATATATATTTATATCTATATTTACATATATAAAACATTAACATTTTATTTTGGTTTAATATTTAATAAGACAGGTTATATTATAAACATAATTAAATTAGAATTGTGATCACTTTAGATTAATACACAGTTGTAAGAAATAATATAGAGATGCAATGTATTCTCTGTCCATTTTTCTCTCACTGGTAACGTTTTGCACAACTGTAGCACAAAATCACAACCAGGATGTTACCTTGATTCAGTCTCGATAGGGAACCTTTCTGTCACCTCAGGTATCCCACTTGCTGCCTTTTGATAGTCACTCCCTCCCCTACTCAGCCGGTCCCTCACTCTTGGCAACCATTAACCTGTTCTCCATTTTATTATTTTGCCCTCTCGAGAATGTCATACAGATGGAGTCACACAATATACAGCAGTTTGGAACTAGCTCTTTTATTCATTCATTCATTCATTTATTTTTAATATCATTGTTCCTCTTAGGTATAATCCCCATAGAACCATGAACTGTCACTATAGTCTCTTGTGCTGTTCCTTCCCCTGTTCTGATCCTTCTTCCTCCCCTTCCCTGCTGAATGTCTCTGATTTATCTTTTGCCTGCTAGTTTTTGTTTTTTCCTGATCCCCTATTTGTTTCCCCTATATCTCTCCTGTAAGTGAAACCATCTGATATTTTTCTTTTCCCTTCTGACTTATTTCACTGAGCATAATCCCTTCCAGCTCCACCCATTTTGCTACAAATGGCATGAATTTATCCTTTTTGACTGCTGAATAATATTCCATTGTGGAACTAGCTTTTTCATTCAGCATAATCCTCTGGAGAGTCATTCACATTGTTACAATTATCAGTAGTACCTTCTTTTTTAGTGTTAAGTGGTATTCTGTAGGATGGATTTACCATGTATTTTTTTTTTTAAAGATTTATTTATTTATACAAGCACTGGATACAGTCAGAAGCATGGGAGGGTGAGAGAATTCACCAGAGCCAGAGTGGGGAACAGAACAAGGATGTACACTGCTGAGAGGAGCAGCGGGCGGCAGGAGAGGTCTGTGCGCCATGTGGGACCCTCGCCTGGTGGCCGGGGATCGAACCGGCGCTGCAGAGGCTGCGGGCAGCCTCGCAACCCAGCGCTCAACCGCTGCGCCACCGGGGAGGCCCTACCATGTATTTTTTTAAACCATTCATCTATTGAAGGACATCTGGATTGTTTCTAGTTTTTGGCTATTATGAATAAATCTGATATAAACATTCTTTGTATTTTTTTGTGTGTAAACATAAGTTTTATTTCTTTGGGACAAATGCCCAGGACTGTCATTTTGGCTCATATAATTGTCGCATATTTAGCTTTTTAAGAAACTTCTTGAGTGTTGTCTAGAGTGACTGTCTTATTTTACATTCCCACAGCAACCTATGAGTGATCCAGTGCCTCTACACCCTTGCTGACATTTGGTGGTGTGCTGTTTTTTTTGCTCTATCTGTTCTGATAGGTGTGTAGTGATATCTTATTGTGGTTTTAATTTCTCTTTGTTTATATAATGATGTGTGTTTGTTACCTGTTTATCTTATTTGGTAAAATGCCTGATCATAACATGGCCCAGATTGTAATCATCATTTGCTTTTTTTGCTGGTTAAACTTAATTTTATTATGATAAAATGTAACATAAAGTGTATTTTGTCAGTCTGTCTGTTCTGTTCCCCTCTCTGTCTCTGCTGAATCCTCTCACGCTCCCGCACATCTGGACTGTATCCTGGTTCTTGTATAAATAAATAAATCTTTAAAAAAAAATTTATCATTTTAACCATTTAAGCGTACCGATCTAGTACTTGCATTCACACTGTTGTGTAACCATCACTACTGTTTCCAAAACTTTTTTTATCATTCCAACAGAAACTCTGCAATCACTAAGCAATAACTACCCACTTCTGTAACCTTTAATGTACTTTCTATCTCTATGAGTTTGCCTATCCTAGATAATTCACGTAAATGGCATTATACAATGTTTGTTCTTTTTTTTTTTTGTCTGGCTTATTTCACTTACTCTTTTTCAAGTAGTAGCATATATCAAAAATGCAATTTTTTATATGAATGAATAATATCTCACTGTATGTCCCCACTTCATTTTGTTTATTTGTCTGTTGGTAGACCCTTCGGCTGCTTCCCCCTTTTTGGATATTGTGACTATTGCTGCAGTTGACATTGGCAAACAAATAACTGAGTCCTTGTTTTTAATTGTTTTGGATATGTACCTAGGAGTGAGATTGCTGTGTCATATGGTATTGCTATGTTTAGCTTTTTGAAGAGTTGCCAAAGTATCACAACAGCTGAGCTATTTTACATTACGACAAGCAATGCATCAGGGCTCCAACTTCTCCACATCTTTGCCAGTACTTGTTAGTCTCACTTTTTCCCTCTCTCCCTCTTTCTCATTCATTTATATCCCAATAGGTATAAAGTGGTACCTTATTGTGGTTTTAATTTGCATTTCCTTACTAAGAATGTTGAGTATCTTCCCATGTGCTTACTGGGTATTTGTATATCGCTGGAAAAATGGCTACTCAAGTTCTTTGTCCATTTTTACATTGATTTGTTT